TTGTGCTTTGCTTTGTTTGCCTTGGAAATTAAACATGGGATCCTCGTTAAACTGAGAGGAAACTGGCTTCACACGTTCCAAGTTCTGCTGAGCAGCCGCATTCAGAGCAGGTAACAGATGAGGCAGGGGATAGTGTCCCCTGCACCTTCCCCACAACTGCCCAGCAGTGATGGGCCTTCCTCAAGGCCGTCCAAAACCAGTGGCTGCAAAAGAGCTCTTGGCTGGAATCCACAGGAGCTCTCCTGCTCTTCTTCCCGCCCAGAAAAGTCGCCCTCGTCTAGAGGGAGCCGGGCAGAATTTCCAGCTTTCCGATTCATACTGTAGGCACCTCCTGCCCCTGGCAGCATGGCAAGAGAGAAGGGGGGGGTGAGCCTCCCCGCCTGTTCCTATCAGCACAGAAGCTCTGGGGGAGAGGAAAAATAGATGCCTTCCTTTCTGTGTCGAGATCCTCCCAACATGGCGGCCCACACGTTCTGCAGTGTGCTGCTGGGAGGTGTGAATTCATCCCTTGGTCAAGCAGCCAGACCAAGCACCTGCCACTTTCCGGCAGCCAGGAGGCTTCTGTCCCCAGAGCAGGAGAGAGAGGCCCAATTTCCGAAAAAGGAATTACATTTTCAAAGGCCTCGTCAATGTCAGTTCCTTGGGAAATCAGAAATAGGCAAAACCATTTATTGTATCTCAATGGATGTGAAGGAACCTGCTGATCCCAGTGAGGTCCTTCTATTTTTGTGGAATGTTTTGTTTCTTTCACTTATGGCCTTTGGAGGACACACTTTGCTTGTGCATGCTTCTTTTAGGGTTCTTGTAGCTTTGGCAGCTAGACTTCAAGGCACTGTCTGCAAGGGTCCCTCTGCTGGCTCATTGGCAGCTTATTCTGTGGTCAAGCCTTGTCTTCCCAAGTCCCTGGCCGGATACAGTCTCCTGAGTGCCCAGTGGGTGTGACATTGCCCTGATGTGAGCAGGGGAAGGGGCCACATGCAGTTGGTGAATTCAGTTATCCCCCTCCCCCTCCCCCATCTGCTCATAAATCCCAGAGAGGAAATCCTCGCCCTTAATGGTAGAGGAGGGGGCAGCCCACTCCACCTTCCTTTGCCCATCTGATCCCCAAACAATAAGACAGGCCTGGAAAGGGCATGCACAGTCTATCTTGTCAGGAGTGGGAGGTGGAGGCTCGCTTGGATGTAGCCACCCCACTCACTCTGACTGTGTGTTCCCTGTGAGCCACAGCACCGCGTGTCCCAGCCCCACGGCTCAGGCCCCGCCTTCATTCAGCACAGCTCCTCTTCTCACGTTCCGACAAAGGCTGCCACCTCTCAGGGAGGTGCAGCCTTCTTTTTGCCCACAGCATGTGTACGTGCCTCCAGCTGTGAGCGGTACCTGGGCAGAGAAAGGCTGGTTGGGCGGCCACTGAGCACTCTCCATGGGGTGCTGCCCGTGCCGCCATGCTATGCCACGTCTGTCTCCTGCTGAGCCAGGATAGAGGCTTGTCTGTGGCCTGCCTGCTCTCCCATGCCTTTTTCCAAGGAGGCAGAAATCTTGCTGAAGACTGTAGGTGGCTAACTTAGGCCGGGTAAAGTAGGAGGGGCTATGCTTAGACTGGACCAATTGCCCAAGCTCAGGAGAAGGGACAGGCTTGCACCTACCTCTTCTAGTCTCAGAGGACAAATATTTGCTCTTCTACGCTTGCCATCCGGTGTTGCTGCACTAATTCAGCTCTGGTCAGCTAAACCGTCTTCATTTGGGAGTGTTGTTCGTTGGTTAGGCATAGCATCCTGCTTTCCCAGTCTTTGTGCAAGAGCAGCTAACTCACCAATACCACATCCGCCCTGAAGACAGACTGCCAACTGACAGTTGTATCTACGTTCTTCCCGCTTTGGCTATCCTGGACCAGTCAGCCAGCCTACTCTGAAGGTGAGCAGCCAGGAACCTGCTGTGCAAGGCACAGGTATCGCACAGGTTGCAAGGGAGCGTGCTTCCCTCTGAGTCCGGCTGTGGGACATTGGCAGGGTCTCATTTGCAAAGTCAGAGGCAGCTGCAAGTTGTGGAGGGCCGAGAAACTGATGGTTGGCTAGGTTTAGAGACATCTCTGTGATTTATATCTGTAAATGGGGGGTGGCTTCCCTAGCCTGACTTTGCCAACATTACAGAAGTTGAGTGAGGAAGACAAATCAATATTAGAGTGGAATGATGACAAAACGAATCTCCTTCCTTGAACAAAGCAGAAGTATTAATATTTCAATACCTCCAGGTTGCAATATCCTGCAATTTTGGTAGATTGCTCTCCAAGAACTTGAAAACGTGTTTTTTCCAGTGCTGGAAATGCAGGGGGAGTGCATTTAGCTGGTATCACTGTTCTGCTGCCATTCCCCACGTTCGTTTCTGTAGGGAGCCCCCTTTCCACATCCATTCTGAAGGCAGAGTCCAAATTAATGCCTCTGGTATGTAGGTTACATCCAAGGCTTGCGACCAGATGCCAGAAGTGATTTCTGTTTTAAAAATATTGCTGGCTATTTCTACATTTTTAATCTCTCCTGCTGATTTGGAGGCAGTTTTATGAAAGATGGAATTAGGATGGTGTACACCGTTAAATGGTAAAGGAGATTAGATGGATTTAACTCTATGCGTCTGTCTCATAACGACTAGCAATCCAGTAACTTCCATTTTCTATGAAAAATCCATTCTGCCCCTTTTGACCCACAGAAGCTTTACTAGCAATTTGAACGTCTTCTCTTTATTTGTGAGATATTTTGCCGTTTCCCTGCTCCCGGATTTGCACTCTCCGCTGCACTTCTGCTGGGGACTCCCTGTCAAGGAAGGTGGGCGATGAGCAGGGCTTGGCTGCATGGAGGGGCTCTGCAGGAGGCAGCCGCAGCTTCGGCAGAGCCCCTTTGTCTCTCGGAGGCGCACTCGCTGGCTCTGGGGGCTGGAGCTGCTCCGTTCTGCAATCTAGACGATGTGTCCATTTCATTAAATACTTACTGAATACTTGTCAGCCTCCCCCAAGGGTCTTACGCTAAAAGAGATAACAAGTCAAAACCGGTGGTTTAGAAACACAAAAGAAGTTAAAGTACTGCATAGTTTTGCCCTGTTGAGCAGGGGTACAGCAAGGGTTAATGGCCTTATGGAATCATGGGGTATCATCCTTATTCCGAGTTTGAATCTTTCTCTATAAAGCTTCCACCCGCTGGTTCCTGTCCTGTCCCCAGGCACCGCGGAGAGTAAGTCCACACCTTCTTCCCTCCTTCAAGGTTTGGAAGACTGCTTTCAGGTCTCCACTGTGCGTTCTCTTCTTTAGGCTAAACAGACCCAGTTATTTTAACCATTCTTCATAGAATTTAGTCTCTTTGCCTTTTTGTAATTTTTATATTTTTATTATGAATAATAATAAAAGTGGGTAGAGATATTAATGAAGGTTCTCATATAAATGTGATTTTGTGTTGATAAGCATACAGTATAAAAGTAAGTACATTGCATATTTTTATATTTATTTATTTATGATTTCAACCGAGACGCCGCCCTAACCTGACTCCAATCAATAGAACAACAATTTTACCAGATAAAAGCGTAGTAATAAGCAGATGGCAGAACCGGTCAGCACAGCATATCACATACGTGACAAGGGGCTCCAGCCATCTTAGCCCAAAGCCTGGGAGAACATCCAGGCCTTTAAGGCCCTCTGGGATGGTGGGAGCCACGGGGATCTCAGGGGGAACCTCCTTCCAGAGGGCAGGTACCGTGACAGCGGAGGTGCACTTCTGGGGTCCTGATAGATGTCACTGCTTAACTGAAGGAACCCAGACCGCACCAACTCTGTTGGGTTAAACTGGCCAGGCTGACACTACAGGAGGTAGAGAGTCCCCAAGATAGCCAGGCCCTGTGTCGTGAAGGGCTTTATCGATTATAACCAGCACCTCAAACATCACCTGGAAGCAAACTGGTAACCAGCGCAGCTTGTGAAGCAAAGGTGTCACAAGGGTGTACCAAGGCATGCCTGTCACTGCCTGCACTGGTGCATTCTGGGCCATTTGAAGCTTCTGGGTGATCTTCAAAGGCAGCCCCATATTTCTATAAACTTTCCATGAATTACCTAAGGTAGCTTATTAGTGAAGTAAAATAGAGAGTACAATGCAGCCATGAGGTGTCAGATCATATCAAGCTTTGATGAGAAGTTCTGCTTATTCTGCCCTCTCTCGCTTGGCCAGAGAACCTCTGGGAGCCTCAAGGGGTGTAGTTCTGCGGGGCGTTCCAGGTGTCACGCTTGCTGGTGCGATTCTGGATGAGCTGAGTGCAGATGGCCTGCGCCATCTGGCTATGTGTGCGACCTCTCTGGCCAGGAGGAAGGAGTAGAAGTTGGCTAATGGATGCTCAGTTTGTGTTGGGATGGAACTGCTTTTGCTGTGCTCCCCTGACCTACTAAACCGCCCCCCCCGGAAAAGGGACAGGAGCGAGAAGTGAAGACTGGGCAAAGTATAGGCAGTCTAAAGGTAGGCCATTGCCTATTTTGGGACAGAGGACTCAGCTCTGTTTTGGGTAAACTTCACTTGAAATCTGCCGGTTGGTGCTTGTAATGGCCCTGTGGAATGGTGGTAAGGAAAGTGGGGGGGCTTGGTGGCAATGGTGGCAGTTGGCTAGTGCTTGCTCCTTTAGGAGGACACTGGCCACTCCGAGTCAGCTGGCAGAGTTAGGAAGAAGGCTGAGAGGAGTAGCAGAAGCATCTGTTGGCCTGCGTAAAAGAGCTAGGGCTATGTTGCCCCCAGAAATTTTTCTCGTGCAGGAGGTTGCCTCCGTCTGCAGCTCTTTCAGGCAGATACTTCCTGAAATTCTGATTATCTGTTGCAAGAGTGCACAATATGGGTGGTTTTCCATGGGACAGTTTCTGCTGTTTTGAGACCTATTAACTGTTTGCTCCAAGGTGCATTAATGATCCTGTACTGGGGAACATTCTGGTTACTTTTTTACCCAACACCAGCCAAAAAGGCTTTGGTGCAACAGCTTCCAAGTGGCTGCCATGATGATGAAAAGACAAATATTTTTTCCCATCTTGCTTAGCGCTAATGGCCTCATCACGGCTTTGTGATGGGATGTGAATTGCTGTGCCCAATACAGCTTTAATTCCTTTCCTCAAATGAGCAGTTGGGATGCGTCCTCCCTGGAGGGCCAGTAAAGTACTTGGCTTGGAATATTAATAGAGGAGCTGCTTTGCGGCTCCTACTGTTCTTCCTCTGCCTCCCTCCTCAGAAGTAATGCTAGGGAAACAGGGAGGCCGTGGGAAGTCCCTTTCCTGTGGGGCTGGTGGAAGAGCTGCTGCCTCCCTGAACACTGTCTTCCATCTTTGCCCGTCCACCTACTGAAACGCAGCTAAAGAGAGGAGTAAATCTGAAGGGCTTTGGGGCCTCCAGCTGAAAAGCTGGCTGCCCACTGAACGCTTCAGCCAACAGGAAGAGGCCTGTGGATGCAAGGGGGCGATGGGGGGCATGTCCTCCGTGCCCGGGGCCTGTATCCAAGCCTTGTAGGGAATGACTCAGGCCAGCACCAGTGGGGAAAGCTGGGCTCTTCCCCTTTGGAAGAGCAGGCGATTTCTGTTCCCTGGAAGGCAGCTTGGAGGTCTTGCAGATTTCGAGAAATGGGGGTGGGGGTAGCGTGGGCTGTGAGTGGCCGAATTGTTTTAGGCCAGACTAAACCTTCAGAGTTTGAATTTAATGTCCTTTGGTTTGGCAGGCAGGTTGTGTGTGTGTTTGGGGGGTGGGGGTCTTGCCTCCTGGATTGTTGAATTCCTCCTCTTTTCTGACCAGCTTCTTGATCCCAACAATATTCATCAGTGATTCTGAAATAACTGTAACTCCCAGGATTTCTTGTCAGTGTGGCTGAAGGTCTGTTGGGGTTGGGAGTTTCAGTCTTAGCACACCTGTAGATATAGCTAGGAAAGGCTGGCCTCAGAGATGGGCTGGGCTGGAGAAAAGCTGACCTGATCCTGAGCTTCAGAGAAAGTGGATCTTTTTCCCTCAGGTCAAAGTTGATCCCACTCCCTGGTCTGGAGCACTTTGGTGATTATTTGGTGGTCTGAGGCCCTGGAGTGCTTACTCTCGCAAAGCTTTTCCTAGCATTTAGTTGGAATGTGTCTTCCTTTAAGTAAAATGTGTTATCTGTGTTCTCCTCTCTGGGATGATGGAGAAATTCTGTGTGAGACGCCTTCAGGGGCTTGGAAAGTGCTATCATGCCCCCTCCCCCCATTGTGTTCTTTGCGGCATGGCTTGTGAGTTAAGAGTACAAGAACAGACCTGCTGGAGGAGGCCCAAACCCTTCTTACTCCAGCACTTCTTTTCTTCCCAGTGGCCAAGCAGATACCTCTGGGGGCTCACAAGCAGGAGGTGGGGGCCTTTCTCTCTCCCACCATTGTTTCCCTGCAACTGGTATCTGGATGCAAGCCAACCTCAGCTCATAGATAAGACTGAGTAGCCCTCATCTTCCATGAATTTCTTCAATCTTCTTTTAAGCCATCCAAGTTACTCATCATCATCCCATCTTGTGGGAATGAATTCTGCAGGTTACTGATGTGCTCAACTCCAGAATGACTCTCGGTGATTTACACTTAAAAATCAATCACTCAGTCAATCAGTCACTCAATCAATTGCCTTCCTGTCAGATTCATCAAGTGACCACTGATCCTACTGTTGGGGCGGGGGGTGCCTTCAAATCAGTGTTGACTCCTGGCGATTGCCTGGACAAGTCCCTGCAATTTTCTTGGCAAGGTTTTGGAAGTGGTTTGCCACTGCCTGCTTGCTAGGGCTGTGACAGTGCGACTGGCCCAAGGTCACTCAGCTGGCTTTGTGCCTAAGGTGGGACTAAAACACACGGTCTCCTGGTTTCTAGCCTGGTGCCTTAACTACTATACTGAACTGGCTGTTGCAAACCAAACTGTTTGGAGGAGGAAAAAGAAGTTCTGATGGTCCATTTTTTTCCTGCGAGGCATCATGCTCCAAGCCTTGACTGCATTCCTCCCCCCCCCACCAATTTTTCTAAGCAAAAGCATCTAATCTCTTTTCATAGCAAGGGTGTTTAAGCCCCTGGATCATTTGGGTTGCTCTTTTCTGCACTTTTCCCAACTTGCCTCTCTCCTTCTTCCAAGGGGCCCATGGTACTCAGGCTAAGGGCAGTGTTGAGCCAAGAGGTACAAGTAGGGGAAGCAGGGGCTTGGCTGGTTCAGGTGTCCTTGTTCTCTGTACTTTTGGAACCACCGTTTACTTTCTTTCTCTTTCCCCCCATAGCGCACACAGAAGATGCGGGTACCAGCCTCTACTTTGTGAACGACTCCATTCAGCAGGTGACCTTCTCCAGCTCTGTGGGAGTGGTCATCCCTTGTCCAGCAGCAGGGTCTCCCAGTGCCACCCTTCGCTGGTACCTTGCTACTGGGGATGACATCTATGATGTCCCACACATCCGCCACGTCCATGCCAATGGGACTCTTCAACTCTACCCCTTCTCGCCATCTGCCTTCAATAGCTTTATCCACGACAATGTTTACTTCTGCACTGCAGAGAACGCCATGGGCAAAATCAGGAGCCCAAACATCCGGGTCAAAGCAGGTATTGGCTGGCTGATGGAGGGCAAGTCTTCTTGACTGGCAGGGAAGGGTGGTCCTAGACAGCTGAAGCTATGTTTAGTCCCAGAGAATGACATTTCGTAGAGGAGGGAGAATACACTGGGTTGCAAGAACTCTTAGTTTTCACTAGCTATGGGGGAGACCTGGTTCTGCTTTCTGAGTGGCATTTAGGTCCTGGGCACATTCCTTTGTGAGTTCTAGGCTAAGCAGTTGGAGGGATAATTAAGCAGATGGAGGTGAGGAGCATGTGGGAGACCATTTCTAGTCAATCATCAACCAAGTGGGTGGACAAGGAGCCCCATTGGTTCCATTAGGTAAACTATTAAACACTGGCTGCCACAGTGCATGCACCACCTTGGTATCCAAGCTTCTTCCTTCCATGCCTTGCAGGGTAGGACAGGACATTAAAGACCAAGAAGTGAATTATTTACTTGAACTACAATACTGGTTATAAAACCATTTGTATATGTGCACATGATTTTATTTTTATTTTGAGGGCTCCATGACATGGTAATTTCCTTAGAATTCTTAGCAGGCAGTCTTTATCCTTCTTCCTTTGTGTCCTACTCTCCTGGGCATTAGGAGCAAGTGGGAAGATGGCACTTTTTAAATACACTTGCTGTAGAGCCTCATTTCTTGCCTCCTCCTGGTTGGGAAATTAGCTCAGTTTTTTGCATATGGGGCTGGCCAAATAAGCGCACTGTGGCACCCAGCTAAATCTTTGGAATACTAAGACCAGATCCTTGGTCTTTCTTGGGTGATGTCAACCATGCAATATTGCGATGTGTCAAATGTTTTTCTGGATTCTCACTAGCATTGGAAAACAATGCTCACTCTTGCTTGGAAAACAAGCATCCTGGAACACATTTGTCTGCGGCTGCTTTAGAAGAGGTGCCTGGAAATCCAGCCTAGCCCAGTGGGCAACGGGAGCTGCCTTGCCCTTACGATATATCTGGGACCTGCATCCACTGGCTCATTCTCCATTGCACTGGAGGCTCAGAAAGGGTCAGACCTGTGGGGATCCCCCCAGGTGTTAGAGTCCCAAATTATGTTTCTTCATTTTTTCAGTTGTTGGGGCCTAGCACAGAAAGGAGCAGGATCAAGTGCAAAGAAACCTCAGGGCTGTCTGGGGAAGCTGAGGCACAGCTTCCGCCTTGGGAATGAGATTTTGCTGAAGGGCCCCTGGAGACACCTAGTATATCTGATCATGCTGAAGGGAAATTTGTTCAGCCCAAAGGGGAGAGGGAGCAAACTCGAAGATTTGTTTGCCCTGGTGAAGAGGACAGAGGTGCCCCTCTGCCCAAAGGCCAAACCCCAGGTAGGAGTGGGGGAGGCAGGTGACCCAGCTGAGGCTGAGGCAGTGCTGTGACTCTGTCTGGATGGGAACTGTCTGGCTTCAGTTTGGACTGTCAGTTGCTGCCCCCTAAAAGTTACATTGTGGAGTCAGGAGGAAGGGCAGAACCTTTTGATTGGTGACTGGAGCAACTTTCCTGGAAGAAGCGTTCGAATGTTTGGGGCTCTGTTAATTAGAAAAATAAGTGAGTGAATGTGGACGTGGTAGAACATATAAAGTTATGCGTGCTTTGAAACAAAGGATTAAAGCATTTTTCCCTCATCTCGTTAAATCTGAACCCAATGGAGTTGTCCGAGATAAATGGATGGGAGAGGTTGAAAGCAGTCAAGAGGAAGTGTTTCTTCACACTGTGCATTTTAAACTGAAACTTGCTGCCTTTAGATAGATTCCTGGAGGACAATACAATGGCCAGTGGCAAGTGGCAGGATAATTGTTTGGTGCTCCGTTCAGGATAAAGGCTATGCTTGTCTGAATTGGTAGCTGATAGGAACAGCAACAGCAGGTGTGCACGCGTGAGAGTGGGCTCGGCACTCACGTTCTGCTTGTGGACTTCTCAGAGGCAGAGCTGGCTTGGAGTGGCCCATCTCCCCGAAAGGATTCAGTTCTTCCTTCTTCTCAAGAAGGGTAGTGGGAGAACGTTCCTAGGAAAGGGAAGGTGTACTGGAGGTTGGGAGCTGATGATGGATAGAATGCAGAAGAGCAGGATCGGCTCTGGTCAAATAAAGTTCCCTGTGAGATGGAACAAGTCAGAATCATGATTAAGTAAAGGGGCCATATGAAGGGAAGTGCTTTAAGATTTTTGTTTTGCTTCCCGATGTGTTCAGTTTGATCTTTAAGAACATATTTCATACTATAATAATTCTTTGTGTGTTAAAGTAGTATTTGGGGCATGTTAAGCCCTATAACTCCTGCTAGGTCTAACTTTCAGAGTTTTGTTCCAAGTATCATACATCCAATTTAGCAGGAAAACTAAAACAGGGGGTGTCACTCTACCCATAAAGGATTGTACTGTTCAGTATCGAGGACACCTGATAGTACCAGGTTGGAAAAAGGCAAGGACTGCCAAGAGGGAAGCAATAGAGGTGTGAGTCAAAAAGTACAAGTTCACCTTGCTATAGGCCTTTTGACTAATGCTGGCCACCTTTGAATACAAGTCTGGATGGCCGTCTGTCAGAGAAGCTCTAGCGGATCTTACACTGTGTAGACCGCCTTTAAGATGCCTTCTAGCTCTTTGGTTCTCTGACACCATGAAGTTCTGGATACAGCATCTTCTTTGTCATGTGCCCAGGCCCCTGCAGTTCCAGTTTGCATAGCCAGCTTGATCTCTAAAGATCTTTTGGAGTTGAGACCAAAGGGTATCCTGTGAACTTCTGGGTTGAGCTACCAAGAGAGGCATAGCAGGGGTTTGGAATGCCATCCCCAGGCTCGTTTGGCACCTGTCTTGGTGCCACTTTGGCCCCCAGCAAAGGCTCATTTCTTTACTCTGCTTTTTCATTTTGTGCTGGCTTTTAATAAGCTTTCCACTGATTTGTTTTATTGTGGATGTTTATTTTTTAAAATCTCAGTTAAAAGCCATCCAGAGCAATCAGTTACAGCAAAGGCAAATCAGTAACCTGCAGATATTCAGTCAGCCTTCAGCTTATGATGGGACATGCATTTTCTACTTTGCCTTCTTCTGTGTCTCTTCTGTGTTGGACTAAGATGAGTTTTTTGAAGCTGGAAAAACAGTGGATAAGGGTAAAATGCGCATATAAGATGCAGTCTTATCCCAGCTTATGAAGCTATGGTTTGGGGCATTCTTGGGTGTATACCCTGTAGGGTGAAGAGATGTGGGAATGTGTGAAATTAATTTTGTGTGAAGTACACAAGTTGCTAATCTGTCTGCTCCTATTGTTTTTCTTTCCAGTGTTCAGGGAACCTTACACAGTTCGAGTGGAGGATCAAAGATCAATGCGTGGAAACGTGGCTGTTTTTAAGTGCCTCATTCCTTCTTCAGTGCAAGAATATGTTAATGTTGTGTCCTGGGAGAAAGATACAGTTTCTATCATCTCTGGTAAGAGTGGGGGGGGCAGTGTTCCCCCTTCTCCTATTGCATGTTATTTGTGTTAGGATTAGGTAACCCTAACCCTAACCTTCCTATTGCACGCTAGGGGCCTCCTGAAGGTCTGTTTTTGGGTGTATCAAAGATCAGTGACAATCTGATCAGGCTGATCATAATCAAGGACACTAGTAAGAGATCCTTGGCTAGGTTTTCCCCATGAGTAGATCCCTCTGGGGATCTATTTTGCTTCAAGCAGTTTGCCAAGATCCTACCAAGTCTTTCACCATTCTCAGTATGTTTGACTCAGCATGTTAACACAAATTTAGTTTGTTGTGGCATTATTCAACTCAATAATGCAACTGGTTGTATCTCCCTATGTAGACTTGTGGTAGGACATCTGGCCATGTATGCCCAAAGTGTTTTTAATTTATCTTTCAGATTTGTCTCATATATATTTTAATGTTTTTTCTTATAAATTGCCTGTGTGATAATACAACTCTGCATATCATCCCATTCAAAAATTGAGGAAATAGCCATTCCTGCATTAAATTTAAAGGAGGAAGGTTGAAGCTGATTTTTTGTTCATGTCAAGAGATAAGAGGATTGTGATGAATTAATGGTTGCAGTCATGAAGTAGGCGTCTGCCTATCCAGTAGGAGCTACAGGTAGTCCTTGGTTAACGACAGTAGTTGGGACTGGAATTTCCATTGCTAAATGATGCAGTCATAAAGCACAATGTCACATGACCACACCGCTTAGTGATGGCACTTCCGGCACTCCCAGTTGCCATTGTTAAGCAAATCCTTCACTGTTGTTAAGTGTGATGTCACATGGTTGCCATTTGTGGCCTCCTGCCGGTTTCCCCATTGACTTTACATGTTGGACACATCACATGACCATGGGTTGCTGGGACGTTGTAATTGCAAGCCAGTCACTGAGTGCCCAGATCGCGATCATGTGACCACGGAGATGCTGCGACAGCCAGAGCGATGAGGACTGGTTGTAAGGACCACTCGTTCAGTGCTGTCGTAACTTTAAACAGTCGCTGAACATGTGGTCTTTTAGCGGGAATTACCTGTATACAGAATCAACGTTTGTGTTCGACTTGGAAATGCATTAGAATTGAACCCACCATAGATGGCTGATGGGCGGCTTTCTTTGAGCTGTGTTACAGTGAAATACTGTACTTGAATGAATTGGAGGGCAACATTTTACAATGCCCTGCTGGTGGATCCTCCAAGGCCATGCAAGAGAAGATTTAATGGGCCTCAGTTTTGCAGAGACTATCAGAGTTTGAAAAGGCCTGGAAGAGGAGGAAAGGGATGTGTCTCACACCGCTATCTGACCTTTCCAGTGTACGATTTGCATTATTAAAAGAAAGGGGAAACTGTTTTTATAAATAGCTCATTGATTTGTGAGTTGTGCTTGCCTGGAGCAGTTTCTGCTTGATTGGTAGGATAAACGTGGTCCCTTTTTGGGAAATTCTGAGTAGGTCCTACTGGTCTTGTGATCCTGGAGTCCTGATTTTAGATGCTGGTGGCTTGGGTGAACCCAAAGGCATGGGTGAAGTGAGTGGAATGTACTCATCTGTTGAGGCATCTCAGAAACCCGGAGTCTCTACCCAAGAAATCTCCCTGTATAAACTAATGGTGAAATCCCAGCTCCAAGTTGGTGGGTGATGGCTGGGAGGGGATTGTCCTTCTTGTCCATGTTGCTGCTGCTGCTGCTGCTCGAGGTTTGTTTTTTTCATATGTGTGTGGAGATCTGCCTTCCTGACCTCCACCTTCTTTGCAAAAAAGCTGCAAAGCTGACTGCTTTGTGGCAGAGACCTGCCATTGAGCAAGGTGCTTGTGCTGTGTATTGGGGGTGAGCTGAAGAGCAAAACAGTTTCTGCATTAGAGTCTCTTGTAGTACCTGGCAAGTCCCTTGGGCTGTTGGTGGAACATGATTCATGTTCAAGGAGCAAGTGGAACTTGGGAAGGGCACATGAAATGCATGTGTTATACCGGAGTCCTTAATTCCCCAAGGATGGGTCTGGAGTGCAGTGGTTAAACTACATCTTGGCCTGACTTTTGCATGATGGCTCTGAGCGCCTCATCAGGTGGCTGGGTTTCTTGGTTCTTCAAGTTTCCTTGGGTCATATTTGAGTCTTCCTGAGTGAACAGGCAGAGGGAGATGTGGATATTTGTGGTATTCATGCGAAACCTAGAATAAAGCCAGTCAAGACTGATTCTGTTTGGTTCTGTTTGTGATCTGGTTTGCATGGAAAAAGGGCTCTTTATTAATTGAGATGGTTGCTGTGCATCAAACATATGGGTGATGCACCCGCACACTAACTCATTCAGACTGTTCTCTCTGTTTTTCTCAATTAGGTGAGGATCTTTTCAGACTTTTCATATTGGATTGTTCTTCCCACTATCTGTATCCCCTCTTGCCACAGTTGTATATATATATTAACGATAATAATGATTACCTTGGTTGTTGCATGTTCAATGTCCGTTTTTTTTTTATCCCACCTTTCTTACTTTTATAAATAGCTCAAGGCAGTGAACATACCCAATACTCATTCCTCCTCCTCTTTGCCCCACAACAACAACCACCCTGTGAGGTGGGTTGGGCTGAGAAAGAGGGACTGGTCCAAAGTCACTCAGCTGTCTTTCATGCCTCAGGCAGGACTAGAGCTCACCGTCTCCTGCTTTCTGGCCTGGAGCTTTTGCCGCTAGACCAAACTGGCTCTCTTCACTCTTTGTTCACTCTTGTAGGACAAGAACTTGCAGCAGCAAAGACATCTTCTCAACAATGTTTTAGGTGTGAAATGCCTTTCGATGGTAGTGGCCTCCTTTTCTTCAGAGGAGGCCGTTGTTATGGATATTGGCTCATATTACCAGTACTTTATGAAATAAGCCTGTTAGAATAGTTCATCCAATCTTAAGTTCTTGTTGAGGGCTGCAAGTCCATTGCTTTTGACCTTAGGTTTGGAAATGGTTCTGATTATCAAGAAACCAGGTAGGGACATCTTGTCTTCAAGATATGGAGAGTCTTGGTATCAAGATTCCTTTCCCAAATGCCATTTTTTTCTATCCTTATGACTAGTATTGGTTCTCTCACTGGGATCTTCCTCCTCCATGCTATGATTGTGGTTATTATACTGCAAGGGATCCTTATTCCCTGTTGCTTTAACATTACCTGTCTTTTCCACATTGGATTGCACTTCAAGATAAAATTTCAAGTTTTGGTTCCTATTTTTTCAGAAGAATCAGAGGACTTGATTGATCTTTTTGCTGGTTACAGATGCACCTTTAATTTCTGTTCTTTTTAGCATCAGTGGTTCCTTTGGTGGCTCCAATTCAGCTTTCTCTAATATCATCTATTGCTTGGCTATACAAGCAGAACACTTCAAAACCTTCTCTGAAATCCCATGGTCGTCTTTGTTGGAAACCAGGGACCATAGTCAGTTTTGAAGGGTAGTGTTTCTAACCAGCAATCCCTTTCTTCTCCAGACTGACTGGTAGGTGGCCTTTCTCCATCTGAGAAAAATTCTTGGTTCTGAGGTTCTTCCAATCTTCATCAGTTGTGGATAATCCATTGTTTGCGTTGATATCTTAAAGTGGTTTGATACCTCTGGTTTGTGCACAAGTTTGTTCAAATTGGTAAATAATGTAAGGCATAAGCTGGCTACTGTGCCCCTGACTTCTAGGTGACTTGAGAATTCAAGTCAAACTGTCAAACTGAAAATGTTCATTTATTTTTTCATTCATCCATCTCCCAGGTCTTTAGTCCTTGAGGCAGTTTAACATCACTTTTGAATATTTGGCAATATCCAGTGTCAATTGGCAAGCAAGACAGGAAACTCAGCTTGACAGGATAGTGTTAATATCCAACTATTGCCCTTTCCTATTGTATTGTTAACTACCCAGCATGTACAAGCCATTTTAAGCAATTTCTTTGGGAAAAGTGTCCTGCCAGAGGGGGAAAAAAAGAGTTGGCTAATAATTCCTTTTCTGAGGCTTGTCATCTTGCCAGGTAACAGAGCATGGCTGCCAAACATGGCTGATTTAGTATGACAGCACTAGCAGGTCCAGTTTCCCTGAAACATCACACTTTTTTCAGGTCTGAACCCTGATATTGGAGATTCACATCCACAACCTTCCTCTCGAAGTAGAGAGTCTATTGAATTGGAGTACTGATGACACCATGGATTGGGTCCAGAAGAGGAATGGTATTTAATCCTAACCCTTGATTTCAGCTGTTAGTACTGACTGTGGTAACTGAGTTGTTTCCATGTGTCTCATGTGCTGCTTGCAATGTTAGAAAAGGAAATGAGGATCTTTCTTTCTTGCTCCTATCATACCACATCACATTCCCATACCATTTCTTATGGGAAATTTTAGCAAGTCCTCTAGTGGGTGCACCTCCAATTCACCTGTACCTTTGAGCCATCCCATCTCTGAAATTAGGCTGGCCAGGAAATGATTACTGTTGACTTATGGACTGTAAGTGTTGGATATGCTGTTTGACAGATTTCACCAAGAAAAATAGAGGGGGTTACATCTGATGGTTGACCTGCAACACTTTAGCAAGCTTATCCAGATGCCAAATTACTGTTGCTCTTCCGAAGATTCTGCCACTGTTGAAGAAAGGAGACTTTCACATCATGATCTGGCCTTGACATCATTGTTGTCCGAGATTTATGGTGATGCTCCTGTTCAGCCATTGAATTGCCCATAGATGTTTATAAAGCGTGTGTATGGTGCTGCAGTCCCCACTCTTGGCTATGTAGGATTCAGGTGTCTCACACTCAGTGGCTTGTATATCCCGCTGCAGAAGCAAATCACCTCACCTGAGAATTCGTGTGATCTGCTTTCCTAGCATAAAGGTCCTTTTCCTTTCCTTTTCCATTAATCTGTACCAATGAGGTTCAGGGCTAGAAGGTTTGCGACCCCTTGGAGCCCTCCTTTGTTCCTTACCACCATGTTCCTTTAAGTGCCAGTGCCTTTGCCATCCTTTTCAGG